CCCAACAAGCCATGGCCAAAGAAAAGAACTATGTCAGAACTTAAATCAGAACCTGATCAGCTAACACCAAGGGCCAAGCCAAGACAGATATCCTTCTGTTGAACTGCTCATGAAAATAGGCAAAATAGGCATCAAAATTATGACAAATCAAGGCTTGAACTATCTTGCTTTGCATGTAATGAGTCTATCTCATATATTAGTTTCATTTTTTAAGTTGCATTAATGAAAAAAACATAATAGGCTATAAAAGAAAAACTAGCCAGCCCGAGTCATTAATCTGGATCAGGATTTTATCCATACACAACAATTCTATCCAGAACAATTCTGTATCTTCATGAACAGCAAAAAGCTGTGTAGACTTGGACAAAAGCCTAAAATCTAAAATCCAGATATATACTTAAACAATGTACTTCAAGTTTGATTTCTCTTCTCTTGAACTTGGATAAATCAAATGAATGTTTGCATCAAAAAGGTTGCACACAACAATAATCCAACTCTGCAATACTACATATTATTGCAATACCTGCTAAACTTTGAAGAATATTGTAGTTGTGGACTTGGGAAATGCATTCAGCTCAGGATTTAAACCTAGAAATTAGGACTTTGGAGACAATCTGGTAAATAGGTGATAGTATCTATCAGATCTTGGCTGATTTTAAAAAATCAAATCATACCTACTGGTAGCTATTACTTGGACTAGGGAACATTAGGAAATTTCAGGGTTAGACAATTTTTTAAAAATTCTGGAAGCAAGCAGTGGCCAACTGTACTGTATTGTTTCAAAGAAACTCGTGAGTGGTCAAAACTGACTGAAAAGAAATGTCCCCTTTGGGTTTTTGTAGATCAGTGGGGGAATGTGAAGCAGCTGGCATCCTTTTGCTGTTTCAAAAATGTTTATAGAAAGAGCTAAGTATACGTACATTCTCTTTCACGCACGCACTGCATTCTTGCAAGTGCAGTTTTACAGTAATTCAGAAATCATCTTTTAGTAGCTTTGTTTTTTTAGTACTCCTTTCCCAAGAGTTGGTTGGTTTTGGTTTTTTTGGAAATAAAATGTTCCATTAATGTTTTTGAGGTAATTTGGCCGCCCTTCTCTCTGCCACTCAGCATCTAATGTGTTTCTTTCCTTTGTTGTTTATTTTGATAATCAGATCACCTTCTGTCTATATATATACAGTACATTCAGTACTTGTAGATGGGTAAACATACAAGTCCTTTTTCATAGAAGCCTAAAAAATATGCATTACTTCTCCTGGGTACTGTAGACCTTGCTTGTTCAAGTTTTGTCCTCTGCAAACTTTCAACAGATACGTAAAGCATATCACTTGATTGATTCATATGCTGGAGCAGTAGCCTCAAGCAATTAATCCAGCAATGAATAAACTGTTCAGATTGAAAACCTTCCTACATCTTAAGAAAATAAGGTTCGTTGCAGTGGTGGGATTCAAATTTTTTTACTACCGGTTCTGTGGGCGTGGCTTGGTGGATGTGGCTTGGCTTGGTGGGCGTGGCAGGGGAAGGATACTGTAAAATCTCCATTCTGTCCCGATCAGCTGGGACTCGGGAAGCAGATAATAGATGGGGGCAGGGCCAGTCAGTGGTGGTATTTACCGGTTCTCCGAACTACTCAAAATTTCTGCTACCGGTTCTCCAGAGCTGGTCAGAACCTGCTGAATACCACCTCTGGTTCATTGTAGAAAGAGAAGTCTCTTTCTGTATATTTCTATGCTTTATTGGGCTGCCCTGGAACCCTTAATGATTGTTAGATTTTTTTTATGATTGTATCCGATTTTGCAAATGGAGTCACCGGACTAGAATTACTTAGAAAAATTAAATGCATCATACCAAAAGGTTATTTTTAATAATATGTATTGAAGCGGTTCCTTTCAAAGAACAAGTAACCTTTGGTTTATTCAACAAACACTGGAAGCGCTATAATGCTTTTGGCACAGTCGTCAGTGGAGATACAGATAAAGATTAGTATAGGGCCATAGAACAATTGCAACTGATAGGCTTCTAATAGCGTTGCTTAGGAACATATTACCAATATTTTCTACGTGGAGTTTAGCTCCTGTTTCTGCACTTAGGGAGGGGGGGGAAATCCTGTTTTGAACATTTATATAAGCATCATCAGTGGGGCTGAAATTAATGGGAAGACAATATATTTTGCTCATGGATTTATAGTCTCACTCTGAAATATGACTATTTTGTGGAAGCCAGTAAACACATTGTTCAGTGTACTGTATCTTATCTTCCATTCCTAATAATTTGTTTAGCTGGTTAATGGTTATTTTATTACTCTTCCCCAAAGACAAACATCTGTTATTTCTGATGTTTTAAGTCCATTCTCTCTACCAGTTGATGCTCATTTGTACCTATTCAAGGGTTCACTGTCTGTGCAAAATGGAAATATAATCTTCTATAAAGTTTTATACATACCAGCATGTGCATAAAATAGTAAAATGAGAATTTCCTATTTTCCTATCATAATGGGCTTATTTTTAGCCCAACTCTTTGGGGTCGTATCTGTGTCTAGTAAGAACAAGTTAAAATCTGGAACAATATTTCTAAAGTGGGAAAGGGATGGAGACCACTCTCTTGTTTAGATACAGTGGAGTCTTTTGAGATGCAAAATAAGATTAGTTTTGCTGTTGGGTTTACCTGTTAACTGTTCTTTTTTTATAGTAGATAGATGGTAGGTCAAAATGGCTGGGTAAATAGAACTGTAAAATAAAGGTAAAGGTTCCCCTCACACATATGTGCTAATCATTCCAACTCTAGGGGGCAGTGCTCATCTCCGTTTCAAAGCTGAAGAGCCAGCGCTGTCTCAAGATGTCTCCATGGTCATGTGGCCGGCATGACTAAACGCCAAAGGCGCACGGAACGCAGTTACCTTCCCACTTTTCTACTTGCATTTTTTACGTGCTTTCAAACTGCTAGGTTGGCAGAATCTGGAATAACTAACGGGAGCTCACAAAGTTTATTTATTTATTTTTTTAGAATATTTGTGGAGTGTCTTTTTAAAAGTGAAGTATTATATAAAGTTTGTGTGTGTGTGTTGTCTCCAAGTTAGTTTTTGACTCCTAGCAACTCCCTGGACTAATTCTTGCAGGTTTCTTTGCAAGGTTTTTCAAAAGTGGTTTGCTATTGCCTTTTTCCTAGGGCTGAAAGGGAGTGACTGGCCATTGGCGCCTAAGGCAGGACTAAAACTTGCAGTCTGCCATTTCTAGCCTGGTTCCTATACCACTCTACCAAATTGACTCTTGTATGTAAGAAATTAGAATCCACTTTGTTTACCTATTTAAAAAAACAACAACTAAATGGTACAAATTTGAAAAGCTGGATTTTAAAACCAAATTTAAAATAATTCTGACACATTTTCTGAAAGTAGTAACAGAAAGGATGAATCATGACTACAGAAGAAAATATGTTTTACTCTTTGAGAAAAACACAGGATGTTGTCCTCAGCTTCTTAATGAGAAAAGTGCTCCCTCATTTATGCAAGCTTCAAGCAATCTGATCTAAATCAGCATTTCAAAGCCTTTTCTTTTCCCTGACTGAAGTTACTTCTGTCTGTTACTTCTGAAGATACTGCTGTCCCTACCAGAGAGGGAGAGATAAAATAATAGTAGTCATCATCATCATCTGGAAGGGGTCAGCTCATTGAGTTAATCTGCCCATGTTGTTTTTCCTGATCACACCATGTTACTGATTCACTTTTTGCAGAATGATCTGCCGAACAGTCAGGCATGTTAGGTCAGATTAAAATCATGGTGATACAGATTCAAAATTGGGTCCCCCTACAACAGAGGTGCCAAACTCAAGGCCTGGGGACCAGATCCAGCCCGTGGGGTGCTTAGATCTGACCTGTGGGGCTGCCCTGGGAACAGCGAAAGACTGGCCCGCGGTGCCTCTGCCCGCGGAAACGGAGCTCAGGAGGGCTGCATGCAGCCCTCCTGAGCTCCGTTTTCAATGGCAGAGGGTTGCAGGAGGCCATCGCAGTAAAAAATGGAGCTCGGGAGCCCGTTTTCACTGGCAGAGCGCTTGGGCCACCACAGACACCCCCTCACCTCACAAATGCCCTTGAGCTGGTCATGCCCACCCCAGTCCCCAAGGTGAAACACAACCCTCAATGAAATCAAGTTTGACTCCCCTGCCCTACAAAGATCAAGAGGGTGATTGAGATTTTGTGAGGATCGGATGGAAGAAGGCACTTCATACTTCTTTCTCTGGAGAAAAACTGGCTTCCAGGTCTTTAAACCCACACCTGGGGTTTCAGGACTGCCGTCCTTTGAGGTAACTTGGATAGTGCCACAAAATGTGTGTGTGTGGGGGGGGGTTGAATGTGCTTTGATTTCCTGCCAAGACAGAGAGGGAGGGGGAGGGAGAGAGAGAAAGTTCTGCCTCCCGATTGGCAAATTCATTTTTTGAATGTTTTACATATTGGGGGTTGGGGAAGATTTATTGCTCAACCCCACCCATCCACCCCACCCCCAACACCAAAATCCCTTAATCCTCAAAGAATTAACTTCTTTCTTTTAATAAGAAAGTATTAAAGTAGGACAATCGAAGAGCTCTCAGCTTGATCTGCATGACAGAACCCTTCAAGAGAAATAAGCTTCAGAGACCTCCATACATTTTACCTACAGGGGAAAATAAATAGGGCCTTAGGTGGATTTTCTGGCCAGCAGCCTTTAAAGCATGCCTTGTCTGTTTTTTGTATGAATAATTAAAAATAAAACCAAGTAGATATTCTGCAACTTGTAAAAAAAAAAAAAACCAGAGGAAAGTAAATGAAAAGGAGAAATGCAAATAGATGAACACCGACTTCTAAAAAGAAGTTAATAAGGGAGATCTGGTCCCTGCTGCTATGCTATACATATACCTGCTGCCGCAAACCTCTCAGGTAACAGGTGTCTGGTTCCCCAGTCAGTGTACTAAAAGATGACTTCATAGGGGTGGAGCCCGGTTACACTGTAAAGGTGGCACTCAGGTGAGCCAGGTAAGAAGTGAACTTATGCGGGTCTCTTCAGCACGTCAGCTGTTCCTTGAAGGAAGCCGATCCTGTTGCCCACGCAACAAGCACACGCACCCCTCCCTGCTAAGCTCCTTGTATTATTATTTTCCCAACCACTGGGAAAAGAAACACCTGCTTGGAAATGGAAACCAAAGATCCTACTGGAAAAGAAAGTGCGGGGATCAAGAAAAAGAACCTGACTTTCCTCAAGCAGAGATTGTACATGCTGGAGAGGAGGAAGACGGACACGGTGGTGGAGAGCAGCGTTGCAGGAGACCACAACAGCAGCTCTGCAACCTTGAGGAGGAGCCAGTCAGACAGGAGTGAATACAACCTGAAATTGCAAGGTAAAAATTGGGCAGGGGAGGGAGGGAGGAGAAAGGAAAAATATCAAGCTGCTTTTCTTAATATTTGGTCCAACCATCTCAAAGCAATGTGCAATGATGGCAGGAGTAATCCATATACTTGGAAACAATGATCAGGAAGAAGAGGAGGATGTTCTACCTAGAAGATTCTTAAGGCAGCTAATACTTTTTTATTATTGTTTCAGAAAGAGTAATAAGATAGAAACACCGCGAAAGGTACTTAGTTTATCTCATTACACTGAAGGGAAGATTTTAATTAAAGGACACATTAACTTTGTTCACAATTATACAATGCTTTAAAGCCACATTTTAGACAGGTGCGAAGTACCCTATTTTCAGTGTGGAAAATGCATTCTGCGAAAAGGACAGACTTTATGGGACACGTGAAGTGAAATAATAGGAAGTAAGCGGGGGAAGGTTTGTCTTGGAAAGAGAAAAAAAGTTTTGCTTCATTATGTTCGTGTTTGGATCTGAAACAAGCGAAGTGAGAGTATTGATTTTTCCAGGCTTCTGTCCCTGAGGCCATAAATGAAGAAAACACTAATTTGTTATTCTCAGAACAAGGCAAGTCCAACTCTAACCTCTATACCTTTAAAATAACTGCATGCAGGTGTGGGTGTATGTATAGACACATATACAGATATATAGGTAAGTCCTCAATTTGCAACTACAGTTGGGACCAGAATATTCATTGATAAATGACACTGTCATTGGGTTTCACCTGAATTTTTGCCATAAGGGAATCACATTGTTGTTAACCGACTTTGGCTTCCTCCATTGACCTTGCCTGTCGGAAAGTCCTTGGGAAGGTCATAAATGGTGATCACATAATTCTGAGACACTGCAACCATTAAACACGTGCCACTTGCCAAACACTCAAATCATGATCACATGACCATGGAAATGCCACAACAGTCATAAACCAGAGGTGGTATTCAGCAGGTTCTGGAGAACCGATAGCGAAATTTTGAATAGTTTGGAGAACCGGTAAATACCATCTCTGACTGGCCCCACCCCCATCTATTCTCTGCCTCCCGAGTCCCAGTTGATCAGGAAGAAATGGGGATTTTGCAGTAACCTTCTCCTGGACTGGGGAGGGAGTGGAGATTTTACAGTATCCTTCTCCTGGAGTGGGGTGGGAATGGAGTTTTCACAGTAACCTTCCCCTGGAATGGGGTGGGAATGGAGATTTTACAGTATCCTTCCCCTGGAATGGGAAGGAAATTGAGATTTTACAGTATCCTTCCCCTGAAGTGGGGTGGGAATGGAGATTGTGGGGAGGGAATGGAGATTTTGCAGTAACCTTCCCCTGGAGTGGGGAGGAATTGGGGATTTTGCAGTAACCTTCCCCTGGAGTGGGGAAGGAGTGGAGATTTTGCAGTAACCTTCCCCTGGAGTGGGGAGGAAATGGAGATTTTACAGTATCCTTCCCCAGGAGTGGGGAGGAAATGGAGATTTTACAGTATCCTTCCCCTGGAGTAGGGAGGGAATGGAGATTTTACAATATCTTCCCCTGGAGTGGGGTGGGAATGGAGATTTTACAGTATCCTTTCCCTGGAGTGGGGTGGGAATGGAGATTTTACAGTATCCTTCCCCTGCCACGCCCACCAAGCCATGCCACACCCACCAAGCCACACCCACAGAACCAGTAGTAAAAAAAATTGAATCCCGCCACTGTCATAAACCCATCGTAAGTTTTTCAATGCCATTGCATCTTTGAATCATTAAACAAATGGTCATAAGTTGCAAACTCTCTGTAAAGGGGGGGGGAGCTTCTACTCCTAAAAAGGACCTTTCCTAATTCTGTATGAGAAAGTTAGGCTAGATAATGATCATTTTGGATTGCTGCCAAAGTGGCTTAAATAATACCGCCTCACATCCACTCTGCTGGTGGAATGTAGGTTATAATGCTGAACAGGTTTGTAACCTTGCCCTAAAGCAACCTCACAGGAGCATTTTACTCCCAGGAACAGTGGAATTCAGTCACAAACAGTAGCCTGTGATGTAAAACTCACCCTTTTCATTTCCAAGAACCTTCCTATAGGATACAGGCTGTATTTCCCTATATGCAAAGGGATTGTATGGGATTGACAGAGCAATTAATCAGGAAGAATTTCCCTGTGAGAAAGCATTGCTAGATGCTTCGTTTGTTAAGGCTACCTTCTGGTTAGCTACAAAAGGAAACTGATATTGGAAAATACTTTTTCTGCCCATTTCCATTTCCCAGCTTTAGTCAATATACAGGATCATTTTATAGGATCTACGTTATATTCCATTAGTGAGAGAAAGGCAAGAAAAAACAGGAAAATAATTTACATTATTCTTTTTTTTATAAACACTTTATCAAACTTTTATTACATTAAAAACATAAAAAATTAAAAAACAGCTAATTGTGGTGTTTTTCTTGTGACAATAATTCATGCATTATTTACAAAAATTAAACTGCGCGTATTTACATTCTTATTTTATCTATTACTTGTACTTAATAACTATCTATCTTCAATCTATCTCCGTTCTATCCAGTTATACCACTGTTCCCACACATTGTAAAATATCGATGTCTCTTTATCTTTTAAACTCAGTGTTAATTTGTCCATTTCTGCACAATTCATGATCTTTTGTATGACCACTTTCTCTGCGGATGTACATGGCTGTTTCCAACATTGAGCATAGGCATTCCTGGCAGCAGTTAATAAATTTACATTATTCTTATAGCTATATCTCAAAAGCACAGAACTTCCCCAAACTTCTGCAAACAATACTTTGGGTAATCACTGGATGGTCCCAAAAGAACTGGCCTTCGGTTATTCTAGCTTTAAGCCTTTTATGTACGTATATAATGACAGCAGAATAGAGATGGAAAATAGGATTGTTATGTCCTTATAAGGACATCCGCCGGGGATTGGCTAATCCACCGGCGGGAAATTCAAACCGCTGTCTCTGGGCGGTGCAACTTGCCGGAGCGCTTAAAAGGAGAGCTCCGGCAGCTCAGCCGCCAGTCTGTTCCTGTAATCAATAAAGTACTGAATGGACCACGCTGGTTGCATCTTCTTTTCCCTGCGCCTGATCTAATACTGGCGACAAAGGATTCAAGAATGAGAGCGAAGAACCTCGAGACACCAGCAACCGAACAAAGAGCTGAAGTCACTGAAGCCGAGGCTACCAGCAGCATGGCAGCACCTGAGACCGCAATGCTCGCCATCGCCCCTTTCCGACCGAGGAAGGGGAAATGGAAGTCATATATGATCAGGTTCCGGCAATTTCTGAGCGGCAACAACTTCAGAGACCTGGACAATGACCGCAGAAGAGCCCTGTTCCTGGCCCACTGCGGCTCCGAGGTCCTGGAAAAGGCAATTCCTCCTCCATTCTGCACATGTAACTGGAGGGATGGAAAAGGAGACCATTTTGTTGAACCCTCTATATGGGCATTTGCAACAAGCCATAATCTATTTTATTTGCTTTGATTTTAGAGTGATGTATGACCCCAGCCACTATAGTTGATGGATTATGGCTTAGTAGTATATGTGAATAAGGCCAAGAGGGTTAGAACAACATGTAAACTTAATTTTATCAGTATAATCAGTTATTAAAAATATTTTGAGTCCCTGAAGAGAAATCACAGAATTTGTTCAGATTCTAGTGAGGCCTCTGGATGAAAACCTTGCCTTGAGCTATATTACCTGTTTATCTGATTTAGACTCAGTTCTCCTCGCTGCTCTTGCTATCAGCCCCTCCCGTGGGATTTCCTCAGAGTAGGAAATCTCTTGTGGCTGGATTTTCACAACCAAGTAACCTCTGGATAATGTTAGTTGGTTGGACTTATTCACCTGGCTTATATAGCACAATATATATAAATAATTCTAACCAGGTTTGACAACATCCTCAGCTTCATAGTACGAGTAGTACAGCCACAATTGAGCCCAAAATTTCTGTTGCTAAGTGAGACAATTGTTAAGTGAGTTTGCCTCATTTTTTTTTGCCACAGTTGTTAAGTGAATCACTGCAGTTGTTAAGTTAGTAATACAATTACTAACAATTCTGACTTTGCTTGTTAGAAGATTGCATATGGTGATCCCATGAGCAATTTAAACAGGAACTGAATTTATTAGAATTAACATAATGGATTACAGTTTTCCTCCTTAAGCCAATGTTTGCAGAAGGCAGGACTTTTTTGTTATTTGTGGCCTAAATGGATGTATAGTGATCCTTTTTATATTAGTTGCCATTCATTATATCTAACTCTCCTATAAATTATTTACCATATATGTTTTATTTATTGCTTAATGCACCAACCCTGTAGGAATATAAACCCTCTGGAATGACTGGATGTTTTTTTGGTCTGGATAGATCAAGTTACAAATAGGAGTATAACAGGACATAATTATCACAGTGGAAAAACAATGCTTATGTAAATATCTGTTGACCTTTATAACTTCCTTTTTCATGTTAAACACTCTATTCAGATGTCATTCTCTTGGAGCTCTAGGCAATCATAGTTAATTAAATTGGTTAGTATTTTTGAAAGCCTAAAAACTCTCCCTATTTTTTTTTATCAGGTAGCAAATACTTATATTGTATAACTAAACTCCCTGTGAAAACTGATCCTTAAATATCCTATTAATCAAATAGATATACTGTAGTACAGCTTAATAATTGTACAAAATGAGATGTTAAGAATAAAAAAGACCCAATGAGCATCACTTGAAGTTTGATTTTGAAGAATGTAGCATCTATTTATACATCTTCCATTCTGTCATCAATCTAAACTTGATGCAACGGTGGGAACTGATATATTTATCATTTTAATTATGTATTCTTTAAAATGTAGTACAATGAAGGCAACTTGCCTTACTTTTTAACTTGTAATGTATAGTAAATGCAAACCTATGAACCAACCTTAAAGCCTTAAGGGAATGGTCAGATAAACAATTTTATTTATTTGCTTAAATTGATTAGCTACCTCACTCCAATGGATTTGGGGT